TTACTTAAACACAGGTTGTCTATGCATGTTTTATTTCCTAGACTCAAATCTGTGTATTAAAAAGTCTTTTGGTGATTGATACAATTGATTATAAAAATGAGCTGGTCCGTGACAAGTTATTTATACTAACAGAGCTGTAGGTTTATCATGGCAATGATTACATCTACCCAAGAATAAGAGGAAGAAAGACCTGACACTAAGACGTAATGTGACTAGACAATTTCAACACATAAATATGCTTTGATCAACATGCCATTTTTTCACTCTGTTTTTTTTTTCTGAAGAGGTTTCAGCAGAAAAGATTTCTTAAGAAAAAAAAGCGAGCGATAATCAATATCAACCACAATCTCTGACTGGTTTCCCTATCTCTGCCTACGAGAAGAAGAGCATCTTACAGCGTGATGCCGCCACTGCCTTGTCTCGTCATGGGTAGAGTGTGTTCAGGTTGACGTGCAGTGATGGCTTTCTATCACACATATTCCTTTGCATGTTAACCACAATATTGTGATCTATGTGCCAAAAAATTCTTGAAGCAAAACCTTAAAACATTAGTTTTCATGGCTTGTGTAACTATGCATAAAGGCCACGTATATGTGGTTTTCTTTATTCATCTGTCAGATGATGGACTGAGAAGTGCTCTATGTTCAAAATAATAGGCTTATCATTTTAGAGCCTAACACTGTCTCTCTTTGGTCTTTCTGATGGTGCTGCATTGATAGAGCTATCTACATTTTGCACCATTAGATTGTCTGCATGTTTTGAGCAATGGCAATAGCCAGATATTCTCCTAAAAAAAAAATCTAAAATGAACATATCACTTATCAGCTGAAGAATAAAGCTGGAAAAGACTTTAGAGTAACACCTAGTAGAAAGTAAGGGATGTGTAGAATATGTGCACAAACTGATGGGTGATTATGCATGGTAATTTGGCATTATAATTACAATAGGTAAATAAAGTCAGTTATCATATCATGCTGCTGTGAAATTTCTAGAATGTTTCTTAAAGAAGTGAAGCCATTTTTGTGTCACTGAATAAAGGAACGCTTTTTATAGCTGCAGAAGTTGTATTATAATGAATAGCAAAACAGTGTTCACACTTTGTTGTGCTTATCATAAATAATGCTGGTGAAGAAGAAATGAAAATGATCATTAAAACACTGGATGAATTACAAAAGTTTCTATCAGCGTATCTTCAAAAATCTTTGATCTGATTAAACTTAAGATTTCTACTGAAATCTACAATTCACAAGCTTTATATAAACTAAGGGGGGGAGAAATGTAAATTGCACATGTATTAGTTGTTGTTTTAAAAAAAGAGCATTTCTTGCAACAAAAAAACAAGTTAGGTAAAAAAGTAAAAATCAGGCTGGTTGTATCACGTCACTGTTTTTGCCGGAATTGCTCCTCCTTGATGACCATGTGCTGACAGTAGAAATTCATTTGAAATGTGTTGTTGACTCTGCAGCAACTCTTCATTTTCTGCATGCATACAGTGAAAGGGGAGAGAAGAAACTTCCTTTTAACAAGAAGAAACCTCCAGCAAAAGTGTAGCATTCTGCAAAGACTGAGTGGGGGTTTAAGAAGACAGAAGGAACATAAAAGCACTCATCCATAAAATGGTTCAATGTTACAAAAAATGTAAAGGTGAACCAGCTCCATATGTGGCTCTATCTAGGAAAGAAACTGTTGAACAGATGAGCTATTAGTCTGTTTTCATGTCTAAATGGCTGAAAGAGTGCAGATCTATCCAATCTATCTCTAGTTTACAGCAGAGGTAGGTTATATTTCCAATAATTCCCAGGATTAGTTTAAAGGTTGTTTTATTTGTGGTCTCTTGTAGACTATTGCAAAGAATCTAATTCCTTTTTGTAATTATCCTTGTTGCAACACAATTATACAAGCTGGTTTAGTAAGGCTATCTGCTCTGGCAGTCAGTTATCGGTCGACTATTTCAAAGTCATGTCGCTTGTATTATTTCATCAAGCTGTTTAGGAGTCTCAAACACAGAGGACTAGCACAAGGGACAGGGTGGGACAGGGTGCATGCTTTATAAAACCAGAGAAAACACTCCCTGGATTTTTATTAAAAGGGTTTGAAACTCTCAAAATTGAACATTTTTGTACATTTCAAAACAAAGCTTTTTAAAACCATTGTATATTTTTTATATGTGCAATCAGCTCGCACATATAAAAAAACATTAATGTTCAGAAATGTAACTAACTGAGTAACTAGCTCTATACCGTCATACTATAACACAATTTGATGTAGTGAAAAAATAAAATTCTTTCTTTTCATTAGCAGTGTTTAGGATGTAAAAACTGAAAACTCCTTTGATTCAGCTTCATCTGACTTCAATGGAAAACGGGGGTGTTAAAAAACTTAATAAATAGATCAAAAACTCTTCTTTCAAGTAAAACAGAGGTTTTTACATATAAATGGTCACTTAACCAAATAATAAAATAATAATAAAAATAAAATAATAAAATTATGTTTTAATGAAGCTTGTTTGTCAAATAAAAAATCTGAAACCTTTAAGGGGAAAATATTTTTCACTATGCCCATATTTCATGGATTTTTTTTTTCTATTGGTATGATGTAATATTCTAAGTTTAAATGTTTCCTATTTATTGAAATATAAATACGAAACATTTTCATAGTTACCAGAAATGAAGAGATACTGATATAAATGTTTTTCACTGATAGTGTGACACATTTAATATGACTATACATTCAAATAAATTAAACATCACAAATATATTTGACCAAACTAAACTTACGCTTTATGATTAAATAGCTTTGCTGTCTCCAATCCTCCTCGATAATCAATTTTCATACACAATATAGGCCAAACCGAAATTTGTGTTTTAGGTCACATGTCAGCAGATGTATTTTTATGCATTTGCAATCAGCCTAAGTATAAATTTAAACATGTTTAAGTGATGCAAATATTCACTGACTGGCTGAATGCTCCCACAACAAACTTAAGAGTTGTGGTTTCTTCTTTTTTTTAATGCTGTCCTATTTTATAACATGTTTCGCCAGCTAAATAATTCCATTCAAAGTCCATATGACCTCAAGCTTTACTCCTTTGAAGTCAATATTGTGTGTGTGAGGCTACAGCGATTAGATGTTAGGGTAGGATTGGGTCACAGACCTATTTACCAGCTTACACACTGAACATGTTATAGCTTGCAAAGAACTGCTGTATTACGGTACTTTACTGTGATGATTTACTTTAAAAAAAGAGAGACATCATTTAGTAATGACAAAACATTTCCAAATTTATAATTTCCGTTCTGTCGATAACAGATTTTTATAACGTTATGCTTGTTTTAATGAATCATCAATGAAGGCGGATTGGTGACTAAAACTATAGACATTAATGGAAAGTCCATTTGCAGTGGCCTCTATGCAATACTCGGCTTCTCCTCTCTCTGATTGCACTGTTGGAGCTAAGGCTCTGCTTCAGGGCTGGAAGGACAACACCAGACTGAGGCACCCCAGACCTGGGAAGAGATAAGTAGATTTAACATAGAGAAAACATATTGTTATACTACAGTTACCGGTAGTTGCTTTTTTATGCTTAAAAGAGCATAGAACAAGTTCTAGATTTTTTTGCAGACATTTCCTCCCTCGGAGGACCCTGTTCCCGCTAATTTTTCATGTGTCTGGGCATATACACAACCTCATAACGTCAGATGTGCAGGCCGAGGCCACACACCAATGTTAAACTTGTTATAAATATTGTTATTGTCCTCTTCCTCCCCTGAGCCAGGAGAAGCAAGTGCTTCAGGAGCTGGAGGCAGTAGTAGCAGCAGCTCAATAACAACTGATGGGGTGAAGCCCAGGCAACAGGTCCCTAATGCTCCAGCAACAGATCCTCTTCCACCAGGGAAAAAATCCCATTTGGATGTCAAGATCCTATCCAGATCCGTCTGACATCACTTCTGCTAAGCAAACATGAATGATGCGCATTCCATAACTAGATATAGTGACTTAATATCACAATGTTTTTTTTTTTTTTGTTAATCACTGCTGCTTACCTTATCAACGCTGCACTTTAAAAATGAAAGTGTCTAGAGAGCTGTTCTAAACAAAATGTCTGTTTGTTTACACCTGCGTGTTATAATAAATCTGTCTAAATCTAAGTCTAAAGATACAAACCTGTTAAATTCAAGTTAAATTCTCTATTTAAAGAATAAGAGATCACAGTAGCAATTTCTATTTGTTTACTTCTAATTTAATTGATTTGGTCCACTTAAAATATATATATATATATATATATATATATATATATATATATATATATATATATATAAAACCTTGTGGATTTCCAAACTCTTTTGCAAAGTTCCTCCAATTAAATTAACTTTTGGTTTATTATATCTTATTTATCTGTAATCAATTTTTTTTTTTTTTTTTAATCTATTTGTAAACTTACCATAGCAAGACCACATGACTAGAGATGACAAGATAAAAACATCTAGGCACGCTAAATCTAAACATCAGGACATAATTCTGGGGCATATTTCAAAGCTAAATCCAAACCCCAGAAACCAACCAATTTAAAATAATACTACTACCAATTCTCACAAAGGGAGTGATGAAATATAAGCCACAATGAATCAAAAGTTGCACTTGCGGCCGCAAAACGAATGTGGTTGAGATGCCTTTTACAAAGAAACATTTATCCAAATATTAATTATGTTAGTAACATTTTTGAGTTTGTTTGAATAGAGAAAATTGATATTAAAATTTTTACTGCTTTTCATCCTAAAAATATCTTTTGATTCAATGACATACATTAAAAACATCCATGCCCACCATGAGGGTGAATGCATTTTAAACTAAATCGCTGTGTTTACATCAGAGAAGAAAATGAAATAAACTTTTACATTTTCTTTCCAGGTCTTATAAACTTTCCAGAACCTCTAGAACCAGGACCTACATACACTTTCTTTGGAAACGACTGAATGTCCAGTTTAGGAAATGTCCTTTCTTCTACAGCCTTCCTGCAACATACAGGAAAAGCCACATCAACAGCAGGTTGAACGTATTTGCAAACCTGATTGTATGATCTATAAACATGTTAGCATCACCTTACCGTGGTTTATCAATAAGGTAGGCTTTGCTTGACATATGGTTTTCTGGGGGGATTTTCTTGCTCAGGACAAAATCTCTAAGCAATGCCTTCAGACGCGCAATCTGCATAATTAACACAGTGAACAGAGCAAAACAGTAACATTTTTTAGGTATTTACAAATTTGGCAGCCATGGTTTTGAACAATTACCTCCTGACTCTGTAAATTGTTGGATTTGAACATCTGCTGGATGATGATCTCACACTCCTGCAGGGTGGGGGGGTGTGGTGGACGGGATGGATTGCTGCGGACTCTTAGAGGCTGTAAGGAGGTAATCCGCCTAGTGATGCCTGTGCCATTGATTTGCCGTACTGACAGTGGAACATCGCCACATTCTCTAAGGTATAAGAACAGTGAGATATTTTTAGTAAAAGGCAGAAAGAAAAATATTTAAAGACTTGGTTATGAAACTGAACAGTTTGTAATACATTGTAACATGCATTTAAATGTAATTTCTGTCATTTGTAGTTTTTTTTTTTTATGAAACCAAAGAAAAAAAATTGATTCATTTCACATGGAGTGAGAAAAAATCTCTGATTTTATTTTTTTAATCTATATCTAACAACCCTGCTAGCAACAAGGAGTGACTATACATTTTTGCATTACACTGCTGTCGAAAACAGTTAAGGGGATGTGTATGATGTTTAAACTTTGAATACAGATTTAACAGAATATATTTGCATCATTCTCCAGCCTCTGATATAAATAGGCAAATAATCTCTGCTAAAGAACAGTGTGCACATTCAGTTGAAAATCTTTTATGGCTGATCATACTCATGACTTACGTATTCTTAGTTGGCTGGAATCAAACATTGAACACCCCTGCCTCTCTGCATATTCAAATTTAAACCTGCCACATCTCGGGTTTATTGTTGTGTCAGTAGCTAGTCAAAGAAAGCAGTTAGAGTCGAAGCTTAAGTGAAAATTCAGTCTGCAAGACTCTTAATCAGCCTAATTTGGATCACCCATTGATGTCCAAAGCCAATCATTTCTCAAGATGCTTTTCATTTGGTCGAAGGCCAAGTGTCTCCATTCAGCGCCTCAGCTGAACTTTGACCCACCTCCACCCCATCTCCTTCTTCTCTCATAGCCCACCCTTAAGGCCTGGTTTAATTCCTGCAGCAGTGTGTTGCAGTGAGCTTGACGCAGACAGTTTTGATTTATGCCCAGTATTGAAGCATGGTCTGCACTATACGCTGTGGGTCTATATACGGCCGAGGCGGTGAGGAAGTGGGGACGAGTTTGTCCGACGACGGAGGAACATGACGGCCAAAAAAAGCAGAGATCCAGGTGGAAAAAGGGTCCCAGTGTTCTCATGCACCTCGCCCTTCAGGCAGGTCATACTTCACAAGTCGTTTTCCTCAATTTCGGTCATAAAAACTAAACAAGCTGGCCTCCTGTCTGCGGCACTGTCTGCCGTCCCCTACAATTAGGGAGAGGTGCAGCAGAGTGTCTGCAGAGAGGGCGGGGACGTCTTTTTGTTCACTGCGACACCTACGCAGACGACCTAGTTTTGAAGCATAAATCAGCCTTTAGATCCACTCATCCTCCAGCTTATTCTACCACAAATGCCCGGACTCAAGGGCGAAGACAACGCTAATCCTTTTTTAGGTTACTCATCCAACCCCATGTTGATTCATAGCATCAAAGTCTTCTGCAGGGGCCCATGTGCCAAAGATGCTGTCTCCGTATGTCATTATCTGCTTCTGTCTCCTTGAACCCCAGTCGGCCTTGGCAGAAGGCCGCTCACACTGAGCCTGGTTCTGCTGGAGGTTTCTTCCTGTTCAAAGGGAGTTTTCCTATGTAGTAAGTGACAGCTATCCACTGTCACTTACTACATGCTTAACGTTAGGGGTTGCAGAGAGTCAATGAGTCCATGAAATCACTTGGTTTTCATTAGATAGTAAATCTTAATTGAGCTGATTGTGTTATTTGCAAGTAAATTGAATTGAAAATAATGTTTCTAATTGCACCTGTATGAGTTTCTCCAGGTTGAACTACAGCCACACTTTATTCACTATAGTAGATCAAGTACACATGTATCATACCAGGCCATGTATTATGGCATGGTGATGCCTTGGGATCCCCCAGAGCAGCTGGAGGAGGTGTGTGTGGATCAGGAAGTCTGGGCATCTCTGCTTAGACTGCTGCCTCCATGACCTGGCCCAAGTTAAAGTGGAAGAAAATGGATGTATTATAATTGAAAAGTAATTCACCTTAAAGCTTGGTCTTGCAGTAGTGCTGATGTCTTCTCCAATGGTTCCTCTTCTGTGTGGGCCACTCTGCCTTGGGTTTTAGGTGTTGCATCTTGAAAGCTGTGCATTCTTCCTAAAAAAACAAAAACAAAACTAAGCCTACCTAACAATCACTCTAAAGGCTTGTTTACAGAGATGTAGCTTAAGATATTAGCAGTAACTATGAAGAGATATTATATTATATATATTGAGATGTTATATGACAGACAAACACAAAAAAGTGTGTATCTGATACATCTACATAAAATCCAGTTTAACCACCTGATTTAGATTTTGTACAATATAACATGCAATTCGAGTTGTAAAATATTTATGGCACAACTGAAAACCTATCAAGACATGGCTGCTCACTTAAACTGAAGGTTGAAAAAGAAGAAGAATATTAATCTAAGCAGCCCTGAGGCTCAGGGAGGGATCGGAAAACTCCACAGCTAGATAAAGTAATCTGTCGACAGGACAATAAGGTCTGCACTCCTTGTTTTTGTCTTTTTTTGTGTAGAATATTGCCAAAAAACAGAAAGTCTTATATAAAGCATAGGAAAGACACTGGTGGAAGTCCTGGTTGAATGAGAACTAAATAGAAATTTCAGCTCCACACAGAAAAAACTTTAGAGACGGTAGGTTTATTGCCAGGCTGAAATAGGACGGCGACAGCATCATGCGAAATAGTGATCAAGTGAGGATCATTTTCCTAAGCATGCACTGATAATGTGGATGCAGCGTAACACAACGCAGAGAGCTGCAGAAGTCTCTAGACTAAAGGCTGAAGCTAAAGCAAGCATGACCATGATCGTATCAACACAGCCGCAGCTATGGTTTAAATCCGACCATAAAGTTAGACTACTCAAAGTTAATCTGATAATCTACTTAAAAATACAGATAATCTCCATCATTAAAATAACTTTCTGTTTCTAGCCTGTTAGAAATACACTTAAAAGACCTGAAAGTTTTAGCTAAAAGTAGCCCGACAAAGTACTGACTCACACAAAGGCACGCCACACTTTTCAGATCATTACTGGTTTACCCAAATAAGTGTTTTATGAAAAATAGAACTTTATCTGTAATGGGAATATAAAGGAGGGACAAAAGTTTAAGAGACAAGAATAAAATAAGACAAATGTCCTTAATGTCAACCACTGAAGCTGCAATGGAAACAATAATCAAGACCACTTCTCACCTTTTCTGCTAGTCTGGTGCGACTCCATAATCATTTTATACTTCAGTTCTGCAGCATGCATAACAGGAAACAGTTAGTGTCATTATGTTGCATTGACTGCAGATCACCACTAATGGGTGCAGTCATTACACCCAGAGTTAAAACCTTTAGCTTAGGCCTGCTCTGACACCACATCCTTCACAGACCTCCAGCTGAGGAAAACCCTGGGGTTGCTATGCTACCACAGGCTGGATGTCTCACTTGTTAGCACTGCATCATGGGGACAGTTAGGTCTCTGACCTGAATTCATTACAGCGGGAATCATTGCCAACCCTTGTAGGTGGAAAATAATGATGTGCAGCCTTTGGATGAAATGTTTGGTATCAGGTCAATAAAGCTGATTTATTAATGAAACTCAAAACCCTGCTGATTCCTACAGAAACCATTACATTCTTCCTATCTATGCTTATAGGGTGAAACTACGGAAAAGGATTAGGGCCACTGTAAAATGAAAAAAAAAAAGTTAAGATTTTTAGATTTCATTTCAGTATAATATGAGAAAAGTCAGAATTCTCAGAGAATTCAGACTTTTTTCTCAGAATTTTGAATTTTTCTCAGAATTCAGACTTTTGTCTCAGAATTTTGAATTTTTCTCAGAATTCTGACTTTAAATCTCAGAGTTTTGAATTTTTTTCTCAGAATTTTGAGTTTAATCTCAGAATTCTGACTTTTGTCTCAGAATTCTGTCTCTAATCTCTGAATTCTGATTTTTGTCTCAGAATTCTGACTTTTTTCCCATATGAAACTGAAATAAAATTAAAAAAAAACTTTAATTAGCTAAAAAATGTATTAACTTTACAGTTAACTTTTTTCTTTCAGTGACCCTAATCCTCTTTAGTATAAAACCGCAAGGGGCAAAATTACAAATAAAATTTTGCTTTTAAAATGTGCATATTAATTTGTAACATTATGGACATTCAGGATTATTTGTATAACATATAAAACACTACATTTTTTGTTAAATGACTGGTTCCTTCAATAACAAGACAAATTGAGAAAATAATAATAAAAACACCGTTATTCTCCTTTCTGAGGTATTCTATTTCTGCGTGGAGCTTCTCCAGAGTTTCCTTGTGTTGTTCCTGCAGGAATTGGATGTTCCTCTGCAGGGATGCCATCCGGGGGTCCACCTGGCCCAGGCGGGGCCCCTGTGGCTTCCCCACCTCCTCCTTCTCTCCACTGACAGTCAGTGGGACAGCAGGCGGTGGAAGCAGAGCTTGGTTTGCGGGGAAACGCCGCGGAGATCCCGATTTCCAGTGGATTCCCACTCCGGTCCAGTTTGGAGAAAGCCACAGCGGTGGGAGGTTAATACCTGACATTATTTTAAGTTATTTTCTTCGCCGCTCAAATTAAGCTTAACACACTGCTGTCGTGAAATAACCGGTTAGTTTGCAAAGACACTACAAAGCTAAGCAGGCCTCTCTGCTTAATTTGGCTCTCATTACGGTAAAAAGACAACTACAACGTAACCATGACGACGCGAAGCACGCTGCGTTAAAGGCCCCACGTTCTCACAGTATGAGGCTGCACTCTGCCCCCCTGTGGTGGCTAAAGGAAAAAGAACATGATCAAAGGTCTTCAGGACCCCCAAACTAATGGAGAAAAGTATGGAGGACCAATCCTGCCATACTTAAAAATAAATACAGAAATAAATAAATGCTCCAAAAATAAATAAGCATGCAATAATTGCCCCTTACAGATGGAGTAATGTAAAGAAAGTTATTTATCCCTGGGATTATTCAAGTATTTCCGATTCCGATTCCTGGTTGATGGGACAGGTGTTGTGAATTAAACGGTGCCCAGCTTGAAAGAGATCCTGTGTGTCGCTGAATGTGTGCATTGATTACTGAAATACATCTTCTGCCTCCATTTATATGTTTAATACAGTGTGTTGAATTCATGTTAATGAGGATTTAAAGGCTTTTCAATTTGTGGAAAAAATTGCAGAGGGGAATAAAAAAAAAAAAAAAACTCTAATCAACCAAAACTTTTGCGACCCCCATGCAGTAGCTCCGTAGACCCCTAGGGGGCACGGACCCCCTGTTGAAGACCTCCGATAAAGATTAATCAATTAAAAAAAGAAACTTAAATATTTTATTACTGTTTCTCTTTACATAAAAGTGGACATAAGTTAATCTATAGCTAGGGAACATTATTTAATTCCAATCAACACAGTAAACTCAGCTGGTTCATAAAAAAGTGACGTGTTCTAAGTTTTCATCATTCAATTAGTTAATCAAATGTTCAGTTTTTGGGAACTCAAATACCATATATGTTCACAAAATATTGTTTTAAAATAAAGAAGAAAAGCAAAATGCTGTCACATAAAAAATATGTCCATGTAGTGTTTAGTAAATGTATTGTATTCAATAACAGGCTGTGGCTCATACCATTCCCAGAATGGGTCTGTGGCCAGCTTTAAAGGAAGCCACAATTACTTTAATAGCCACCTGCACCCCGTTGAAGTGGTTTAGGTCGGGCAAAATTGTTAGCCAATCACAAACAATGCTACCATGGCTATTACACTAACGCTTTTATTAATTGGCATCCTGTTGTTCATCGTTTTCTGGTATATTTTTCATTCAAATAAGCTTCCCATTAATATTCCTGTATTTAGATCTCTGTAACTGACAAACATAGTGTCTGTCAGCGGCTGTTCTCCTATATCCTAAACTCAGCCTCACTTTGTATACAGATGCAATTACAGTCACATGCTGCCACTTTGGAGCAGCTTAACATTGAGGATGACCACACTAATCGACTGGAATCACCTGAGAAGTTTGGGTGCCTTAGAGAAAAGCTAAAACATCACTCTAGGCAGAAATGTTGCAATAAAAATAAAGAGTTCCTAAACAAAAAATACAGAAAGGTTGCTAGACTTCAAATTCCCAGATTTCGGACAGAGGAGCTACGTTGAATCTTTTAGAAAAGGAGTCCAGGTTTTTATGAGGTGTGAAGCACTTTAGTAAGCCATTTTGTTCTTTTAAAGTGCCATTTAGAAATAAACCAAGTCTAGTAATTAGGAGCACATGATGGAATCAAACAAATTACTTTCCTTAAAGGTATAGTGAAGGAATTTATTTTTCCGGTGGATCATGAAAATAAATGGTCCTCCTAATTGTCAATCATTCTGGTGATATGTTTACGTAAGGCCGTCTTATGTGCTCATCCCCATTTCCATTGACATAATGGAAAAATAAAACATTTTCTTTTGAAAAGTAAGCGATGTATAAGCGATGCAAACAGTAACCTTTAAAGAATGTGCACGAGGATAAATTGGCTTGTGCACGCTCTCACATAGGGATTCCCTCACGGGAGCGGGGACGGGGTTGTGCATTTTTTTTTTTTTTTTAAGTGGAGAGGGAGGGTCTTTTCAAAAATCACGAAACTCCTCCAAAATATGTGTAGCGCATCTTCCAAGATTATGTTCATGGAAGGTTTACCAGATGGAATTTAAATTCACAGAGGAGTGAGAGAAGCACAACAAACAGTAAAGAGCAAATAAACAATGCAACAAACTAATTCTAATGAAATATCCAGTCTTTTTCTCTCAGCTAAAAAAAAAAAACAAAAAAAAAAAAACACTCACAGGATTCTGAAGAAACTTCCTTTCCATTCACTTTATTCATGACGGAACTCCCCAAACAGTAGAGATTACATCATCAGCAGGGGTATAGAGATAGTGCGTCTATTATTGATATGAAAACATTAAAACTGCTTTTGCAAGAGAGAGAATGTGGAAGATCAAGCAGAAAGCTCAATAGTCTTTGGGAATGTTCAGGTAGCCCAAACCATCATCTCCCGGCTGATGGGTTGAATAAACGCCAACAATAACTTAGAAATTAAACAGGTGATACATAATTACTCAGAGGGAAAATGGAAACAATGTGTTATTTTAGAAAACATACAAAAACCGAAATAAAATTGACAACTTTTAAAATCAAAGGGCATTTTTTTCCACTAACCTGGCAATGATTGTATGGAAAGATATAAACAAAAGAGAAAAAAGTGACACATGCATCAGTTTTTTAGCCGCCTGATTCTTTGAAGAACAGCGCAGCAAATGTAGTGACACAAAGCCTGTGGAGGAATTTAATAATACTAGGAATGTACTCTTGGGAGACTCAGAGAAAAAACAAACATTTCTGGATCAATAAATTATTCTCAGCCTGTCCTGCCGATTGCGCTGCTGTGAGGGTGAACAGCATCTTTAGCTGAGCTCGCACACCATCATTTTAGAAACTATGCACTCAAAAACCACCTTGGGTTTCAGAGGAAATGACATCTAGAGTAAAATAGGATATCGGTGGGTTGAGATGTGAATTACTTCAGAGTGACAGGTTCTGCTTCTCATAAGCATAGATCTATGTCTCTCTTTCTGCGCTAAATTTGTCCACCCGCCAATCAGCATGTTAAATAACAGGCCTACTAAATCTCACTTTCATGCACTCAACCCATCAAACACAACCAATCAAGCAGAGTCGAGAACTCTTCCTATTTAAGCTTGGTTAAGGTAAACAACTCTAAACAAATCAAGCAGATTCTACTCTAAAGTGGTGCAGAGCCTTTAACAACAACCCAAAATAATAAAAAAAAAAGGTCAATTAAAGCTCAAAACAAGAACTGCGACATTTGCTTCAGTGTTAATTTTCTTCTTTCCCCTTATAGAAGCCCAGCTATACACTATTTCCTTCTCGTCACTCTTCACATAATAACATACACGATTTTATAACTTTAAAAGCAACTAGGTATGCGCTAAAATGAGTAAGCAGATGTCTCTAAATGAGCAAGGCTACACAAACTGCACACTTTTAACATATTTAACATACTCTTCTATCTATACAGTACATAAACAGTGCAAAAAAAACAAAAACAACATTCAGCCCTTAAGATTATCTTAAATGTTAACCCCCTCCAACCTTTAGCCTGATTTTAATTTTCCCCTTTCCTGACAGCCCCTACATTCATATTTGACTATGCTTGCCGAACACCCACAAGATGGAGAGATGAAACACACAAAGGAAAACCCCAACCCTGACAAAGTCTGGAAACAATTCACAGAAATGAGCAGCACTGAGTGTGAAAGCTTATGAGAGTAATCTCAATAAATGTGAACGGTATTAAAAAAAGTCAATTAATTCCAGTAAATCAATACTGTTAAAAAAAAGTTGAACTCATATTTCACCTATTTGACCATTATGGCTCACAGCTACTACAAATCCACCAAATTAATTTACTTGGAAATTTAAAAAATCGAGTAAAAACAACAGAGACGCTGTGGTGTGGCCTCAGCACCTGCAGAAAATACCAATACCTGCTTTAATGACCACAGCATCTCTAAGGATGACTGGTGACCTAAACCTCCCAGAGAACCTATCGAGTCAAGAGATTCAAAGAGAGTCAAAGTTGTTCAGCAGAGAGTCACTGACGACCCCATAAGGTGAGGGAGACGCCAAAAAGCTGTTGGTTCAGTCCTCCATCAAAGCACATCTATAGAAAGTTAGGTGGAAGGAAAAACTTTGGTAAAAAGAATTAAAAAGCTATCAGAAAAAAACAGTAAATGTGAAAGGAATGTGAATAGCTGCAAGCCATAATGAATTACATAATGAGTTTTACTTTTTTAAATGCATTATGGAAACCGACTATTAATGTTATTTTGATTTACTTCAATCTTATGTCTGCATCCCAGATTATTGCAGCATTCTCCTGAACAAGATTGTGATGAAAGATGCAAATGGATCAGTTTCAGCTCTTTCTATAGTTAAACACGGTGTTTCGAGTGTTAACTGTTTCCTCTCTGCTTTAGAGAAAGCTGCAGGATTACAATACTTCCCTCACAACCTCATAGTGTGAAACAGGCTGTGGCCCTTTCATTTTGAGCTTATACAGAAATAGTACATTTTCAGACAGATTTTTTTTTCTTTTCTTCTCTAAATCAAACCAGCAGAATTAGATTATGAATCTACTTCAATAAATCCTTTAAAAATAATTTGGCAGCAGTTTTTTTTTTTTTAACAGTACTAATATGCACTACTGCTAATTAAATGTAGCTATGCTTTAAGCTGTAGACTTTCTGTCAATAAGCATGAAAGGATCTGATAAAATGAAGAAAAATGGGAGCAAAGCAGAGATATAAGACAAAAAAAAGCACATTATGAGAATATTTAGCTACATGGAGTCCTTATCAGAATGCATCACCAGCTGTGCAGGTTTATCTGCATTGCTTCTGCTGCTGCATCTTGCTTGAATCCTAAAAAGCTTTTCTTATTTTAAACTAGCGCAACATGAAGGAATGTGACTACTTGGCAAACACTGCTCTCTGCTGTTGGATCGACAGTAAATGGGTGCAAATCTTCTTCTTGGCATTTCCATGTTCAGCAGCAAAGTCCTCCCTATGTCCACTGCTGGTCCAACCCCCATAGATGAGATGGTTCCAACCTTGAAAACCGAAAGATCTTCCAGTGAGCAGCCTTTCAGTGTCTGTGTAAACCTTGTGGTTTTCTTGCGAAACCAAAAGCGCTTCTATGTGACACCGTGAAATGTGGGTGGAGATTTGGTAAGTTGTGTGTTAGAGTGCAAATGGAGAGTCAGGCGTCAAACACAGAGACCGGATTGCAGAGCTGTGAGGCGGCGTTCAATGCATTCTTTGCCTGCACAAACAGAGAGGGAAATTATATTTAAATATCTGTACTGGATCAAGATCTAGAGTTATATTCATGAATCTCTGAGGGGAAGTGACAAAATTATTAAAAAGTGCAAAAAAACTACAAGTAGTTGAACAGTTGGAAGAGATTCTCACATTTGCTAACGCTCAGGATGTCATCCTGTTCAGTGAGGAACAGAGACAAGCCCTCCATTAGCAGGAGAGCTTTGTGGTAACGCAGGATGGACGCCTCCCCCTGGTGGAACATCTCGTCCAGTGCAGCAGTCTGAACCTAAAACAGGAACAGGCACATTCAAGGTTTGCATCATCATTTTAAAACCCAAATATAATAATTAATTGCAGAAGCTTCATCGTTTCTACATACAACCTCAAGCTATAATGTACTTTTTCAAGATTTTATGGTAGGACCCAAAAGAGTTCTTAGTTTTGATCTGATCTTGAGTTGTGGTGCTACCCGGTACTATACTTAAGTTATAGTGGAAGATGTTCTTTTCCAGGTGGATCATCAAAATAAGTGGTCCTCCTAATTAATATGTTTACGTATGGCCGTCCTAAATGTGTGTCCGCATTTTCACTTTCACTGATAAGTCTGACATAGTGAAAAAAATACATATCTTCTTTTAGAAAGTAAGCTTGTATGAGTGATGCAAACAGCAACTTTAAAACAGAGCTTGCACGAGGAGAAATGGGATCTTGGACGCTCTCACATGCGTTTAATAGGCGTTCCCTCTCAGGTACGGGTACAGGGTTGTGCGTGTGCATTTGATTTTATTTTTAAAATGGAGAGGCTGTTTCAAAAGTTGGCAAAAATTCTCCACTATACCTATAAGCTTTCTTTCATTCTAGATGTGCCCCCTTTGTGAAATACTTTTGGTCAACTTTTTTTTTTAATTTGCTGAATAAACAAAATTATCATTCTTTTTTGTGAAACAGTCTGATGGAGACGATTAGAAAACGTATGTTTTCAAGGCTCGCCCCATAATCTATTTACCCTACGATCTAACAAGCTCTCCTGGTGCAACTGAAGAAAAGCTTCCCCACAGCATGACGCTGCCACCACTAAGTTTCATTAAAGAGTGTTTGAGTTCTACATGTTGTCAAGGATTAATATAAACACCAGTTAGAGCTGATTTGACTTTCCTTTGAAGTCTTAATAAAAGATCTGTGTTTGATGTGGTTACACAGGGTTTCTAATGGTGAGAATTGTTTTTGTCTTCTTTTTATTCTGCCTACCATCTGCACTGTGTGGCTGAAGAGCAGCCGCTCAGCTTTGATAGAGGAGATTTGGTCCATCAGACGATGCTTCCTGGAGAAAAAGTGTTCCAGCCGAGTGCTGAGCGAGCGACATGATGCCACGCTGGACTTGTACAGCTCATTCAGCCGCCTCACCACTGTGCATGAACAGAGAAAAGAACATGGCTTCTGCTTTAGAGCGGAGCACAAAGACAAAATCGTTTTTACAGACTGCTGCTCTGGCTAAAAGAGGCTCCTACCTTGTTTGACAGTAGCAGAGGGGTAAAGCTTCCCCTGTTTGACGCGCTCCATGGCTGTTTGTAAGGCAGTAGACAATAGTTCTGCGGTTTTAAGGTAGAGCACCAGCTGCTCTGCATGACTGAGAAGATAAATACAAGACAGAAAAAAAAAAACAGCTGTGAAACCATTAAAAAATAAGGTGGGAAGTGTTGCTGTTGTCTGAGGAGGAACATGAACTAGATGAATGTTTGACACTAAGGTTTCATTCTGAGTTCATTCAACTTTTTACCTCATTTACCTGAACAATGCAATGAATTCTAGATGCCTCTAGGTTAAACTCTGAGTTGAAAAACCTATATTTTTAATTTTAAATTGAATTGGAATACTAATGCCGAAACTTTCATTAAACTTGTTACTGACATTTTCAGACTTTCTTTTACCTTTAATGATACAAAATGTCTTCTTTTTTCAGTAATTTTCAGAATACTGGCAATAAAGAACAATTGCGTCCATTTTATCCAAATTATAGCATGCTGCTAAATATCAAGTCCAATCACTCCTTTGAGTTGTTAAATCACACAATAGTACTGAAATGGCAGATCTGATATCTGATTAGCCATTTTTCCTAGTTTGTAACTCGTTTTTCCAACTATCAGTTATTACAATTTCTTTCAAACTACTTTTCACTTTATAGATATCATATACTGGCCGGTCTTTGCCATGTTTTATTATAGCAGGCTATGGTTAGAAAAGGGTCATCACTATAATTTAATGGCCTTTTGAAGTGCAGAAAATGAGCAAAGATGTAAAAAGATGTAATAGCAAAGTTAAATGTCCAGTAACCACTTCTGGATGCATTTCCAGCAAAATCAAGATTAAGTTTTATGAGCTAAACATCATAATTGAAAAAATAAAACAATTACAGCATTTTAAAGTGGAAAAAAAAAAAACATGTCAAAAACATATTGATCTAAAACTTGGTGAAATCATCTAACGTAGGTATATAATAAAAAGAAAAGTTTTTAGAACAGTGGTAATTTTTATTTGTTACTATAACTGCAATAGATGAAGGTCATAAAATAAAGAAACGGAGAATGGGTTCCACTGTTAATGGGTTTTTAGGCGGTCTTACTTTCTCCTAAATGGAGCAAAAAAGGCAGAGATTACAAACATTGATATTTGACGTTGGAAATAGGTGTTACCTCCACTCTCGGCTCATTGAGCTTATCTGATCTGCTACCAGGCTCTGCTGCTGGAGGACAGCGGGGTGAGATTCTCGTCCTTGTCCTCCCACCGTGGCAGCACCACGTGAGCTCGCCACCTCCATCAGACAGAGCGCAAATTCTAGAGTGAAGCGCAGGCGCTGCACGGTGTCTGTGTGTTCCTGCTAAACTCCAACAGAAGTGGAAACAGAGAAGTGATTTAGAGACATAATATAGAGTAAATGGCAGCAGATTATGACATTGCATAGAGTCTGCTTTACTGAAAAAAAGAAAGAATTCAGATTCCTGATTTTAATTGATAAAGCAATAAGCTTCAGGTCATGTGTTAAGAATTTCTACACTCAGTACTTTCCAGAGGTCTGTGGGAAAGCGGCTCCTCACCTCCATCAGCGTCTCCTCAGGCAGCTCGGGGGCCTCAAAGGTCACAGCGCCACCCATGTTAGCTGTGATAGGATCAGTGAAGCTGTAGCGAGGGCTGGGCGGGGCCTCAAAGCCTTCAGGATAGGGGCCTGTCTGGGGGTAGCGGCTGGTCAGCGAGCCTGCAGGGCTTCCTGAACTGAAGGAGCCTGTTGGAGGAAGAGATATTCTGTACTGTACAATCAAGAGAAAAAGGGATGTGAAGCAATTCAGAGTCTAAGATTCAGAGTCTAAGCTTTTAATTGAATTTTAGTTTTAAAAAAGTTTAACCCTCAAATCATGAGAAAAGAAACAATATCTCCTCCCTGTTCATCTTCAATGTAACAAGTTGTGAGAGTTTTTTTTTCCTTGTTAGTCTGGAAACATCTAGTTCAATACGAACTTATCCAGATTTCATGTGTTACCTGAACATTTTCTTTGTCTGGAGGTCTGAGGTGGTGTGCTGCCACTTGGGGGAGAGCCAACGGTGAAAATCACCTGCGCTGGGCTGCAGGACCCCGGTGCAAAGCCACTACAAGGAGGAGCTGATCAACAGAAAAAAAGGCTTTCTTCAATTTTTACTCTTTTCATGATACAAAACAAACAAAAAAGCAAAGGTAACATTGATAAAACAGTTTCAGGAGACACACAGAGAGAGAGAGCAATACTTTCAGTGGGTAACAGGCTGAACTTCTTACAGGAATGTTTGTCTAAGTATGCATTATTAAAATGCTGGATAGCCTACATGCTTCAGGGAATACACACACAGACTGCTCTTTAAAGTTAGCTATGCAGATATTTAAAGATGCAAATTGAAACTCTTAAATCAGTTCTTTGTTTTATTTCTAGCGCCCTCATAAAATGTACATTCGTCTCATTTCATAGAAATAATAACTTACTATTTACAGCAGGACGGTTAGAAAAAATGTTTTGAATGCTCTTCTTTATCTGCTACTATAGTTATGAAATAAGGAAACACTAAATGGCTAAAATTGATGTAGTAAAGCAGGAATCATAAAAACATTGGAGAATAAATTGGCTATATATATTTTTTTATAGCATAAAACAATACAGAGCATACTGAAACCATACAAAAACCTTCTCTGCTTTATATTTAAGCTGTTATTTGTAAGAATTGATGCCATTTTATTGAGATTTTTTGCATCAGAGCAACAATGGGAACCATAATAACAGTAGAAACACCATCTAAATGTTTCATACATATAGAGTAAACATTTTAATCTATCCTGAGGAAGAGGCATACAGACCTGTTATATCTATTGCTTTTTCTGAGGCCAGGTTCTCCGTACTGCCTCGGTCTCCTGCGTGTCCTCCTGCTCCAAAGGCAGCCATCAGCAGCATGTCCGACAGACGACCGGCACTCTGTGACCTGCAGATGAGAGAGAGAAAATGTAGACATCTGTCCACTTCCTGTCTTATCTCTTCCTCTCTTGATAAACTGAATGTGGCTTTTTTTCCAGTTTCAATCCGAATGAAATCTGTAAAAATGCAGTAAATAAAGTTTGTTTCATTGTAAAGACGATTATAGAAATAACGCAGTCACTTTTAATATGAAATTAATACAATAAAAGAAATGCATAGTTTATCCAGGAATTCAAGTTCATTTAATCTTAAAAAAAATCAACAAAATAAAACGTTCCTGTATCTAAAAGAATAGTTTTTTTTTTTTTGGAAAGATAAATAGTGAATGACTAAAACCTTCCAAAGCTCCTGCTGTCATCAGTCAGTCTGTGGACGCAGTAAGCAGGGCTGGTGGACGGCGCCGGGGCTTGTTGTCCAACGTCTCGGAGCTCTCCTGGGGCAGTCCTGCTGCTAGGCGAACCCACACCCAAACCCCTCTGCGTCAGGAAAGTCATAAGGTTTGGAGAACTTGGTGGTTTGGGGAATTCAAACGGAGGGATGGCCTAAAGAGACGGAAAGTAACAAAACATCCCAGTTTAGTTCATGCTGAGTGCTGGCATCTCTTTTCCCCTGATGTTTAGTCCCGGACACGGCCGTCTCACCCTGGAGGGGGATCCCAGGATGGTAGGGAGGGGGTTCCGCTGCATCAGCTCACTGAGTCTGGGGGAGGAGTGGGGGAGGCGGACAGTCATCAGCCCTGATGGGGGGACAGCCACAGGGTCCGAGTGCTGTTTTTTAATTTTATGCCTTCCGCCACCAGTCGCACACTCCAAAAGACAGGGGGCGCTGTGGAGGCGCGTGCCAAGCCCTGCCCCCTGCGGAGGCTGCTGAGACGTCTGCCTTGATTCGGCATGCTGGGGCGCTGCAAGGAGTAAATTGACAGAGAGGGGGTCGGTGTGGGAGGATTGAGATTTGTCACTCTCTGAGGTCTGATGTTTAGGATTATTTGGCTGTCTATTGAACTGGTACTCAGGGTTTTGTCTTAGAAATGTAGTCAGTACCTTGCGGCGAAATCTGGAATGTTCTGGTTCCTCCCAGCGAAAGCCTGCGGGAGCTGGGGGCTACTGCTTGCCGCGGGGCTGAGGGTCCTGCTCTAGTTTGACCCACCAGACTCCCACTGCTGCAGCGACGCACCGGCGTAGAGAGCCTACCAGGTCAGAAACATCAGGTATCAGACTGAAACACCTCACCAGTTACTAAAGATTTCATTCTAAGTGTGACTGTTTTGTTCTTGGAGTGTGAGCAGGTTTGGATACTGACCGTGGCGAGCCGTCCTGTTTGGGAGACTGAAGGTTCAGCTCCATACGCTGGTAGTTCTGGACCTGAGTGGGGACTGGGATAGGCAATGAGTGAACATGGTTTCCACAGCTACCATAGAAATTACTCCCCAGGAACTCTGCGGGTCTGGGAAGAGCAGAGAAAGGAGCAGAAAATGTCAGAGTGTTGACAGGATGTGGTTATGTTTTCATGAAAGCTTTTAAGAAGAGTCCAGCTTTATCTTGATTATCTGCCGTTCTGTTCCTTTGAATATTGTTGAACCTTTCAGAGATGATGACGGGTGTAAAACTGCAACTACTAGTAGCCCCAGTAGAAAATAATTAAAAGAATAAACTCAAATAACAAGGCAGGAAATATGATCTTTGAGCTAAAACCTTACCCTTACAGGAGAATGTCCTGAAAGAAATTACTTCAAATGAACTGAAAACCTCTTCTTGCTAAAATGAAAGCTCTTTGCCTTTTAGGGTATGTCTCAACCAGCATTACTCAACATTCTCTGCCAAAGAGCTCAAACTCAGTCAGATGAGACAGACAGACGTCTGTGGAAAGAAAGTTTGTTCCGTCTTGCCAACAATTTCATGTTGAATTTAGGTCTGAACTTTGACTGCGTCATTGCAGCACATAAACACACTTGGATATAAAACGATTCCACTGTAACTGCTGCTGCTTTTTTAGGGCAATTCCTCTGCAATAAGATGAATCTTTAGCCCAATCTTAATCCTCTGCAGCCTCTAGCAAGTTTTCTTTCAGGGTTTTCCTGTTATAAGCTCCATAATATGCCCGTATTGTTTGCATACTGGCCACAAAGTGTGTTTTTGTTTTAAGAACCAAACATTTTCATGCACTTGTTTGTATTTTCCTAAACGTGTTATTCTAGCCTTCATCTCACAAGCCTTTAATAAAAGCTGCATTTGTGGTGTCATAGTTACCCTGCATAGACTTTTCCACCAGTTTTGGATTATTGATGCTCCACCAGAGCTACTGTCGGCCTCTAGCAAGTTTCTCTGATCAATGCACTCCTTTCTCAGTCTGCCAGTTCACATTAAAGGCCATGTCTTAGTAGGTCAGCAGTTGTGCCGTGACCATTTCATTTCCAACAGAAGGATTAAACAGTACTCCATGCTAAACTTGGAATATGGAGATAATCTTCCTTTTTATTTAGCCTGCTGTTTTTTTTTTTTTTTTTTTTTACAGAATGTTCTTTAAAAGTCCTTTAAGAGACTTAAAAAAATAGCCTTATCTTTTCAATAGATTCAATCTGAAATAAGTGGACTCTGAAGGTGATTGAATGCATTTCTATTTAAGGATATAAAGACAGTAAAGGAGTGATATAAATAATTCAGTGTGTAAAAAAAAGGCAGAAAACAATTTATCTTATCTTAAACTTTACAATCCCAATGAAAACACATAAAGAATCCTGATTAAACATGTTATGATTGCAAGAAACTGTTACACCTCAAATGCCTCAAGTCTACAGCTCTTTTTTCCAGGTACTGCACATTCAATACAATCAGTTCCTTCAGTGATTAACTTAATTCGCTTTACAATTAAATCATAATATTGTGACTCTTTTACCTGACAGGACTTGGCGAGCCGCTGTAGGAGGGAGAGTGAGGCGGTGTTTTGGCTTGGTTACACAGACCAGCTGAAGCCAAAAGAGAACTAAAGAAAAGAGAGAAAGAAAAATGATGGAACTACAACAGAACAACACAAAGAAATACAATCTACTGTCTTCATTTTATAAATCATTCTGGCATGATTCATGTAGTCGTTAACTCTCACCCGCTGTTCATGAGACTGTCCTGCAGTACTTTACTCTCACAAGTCAGTTCTCCTGCTGGAAATCCATCAATAAGAAAAAAGAAAACCAATCAGAACAATCAAACATAGAAATTTTAATAATTACTATAACTGATGCAACTATTTAAAAATATTTACAAGCCTAAAAGTAACTATTATAGAGATGAAGATGTGAATTACATGTAACTTTGTATGCCTATTGTATGTTTCGTTTGATGTTTCCTTGTTTCTATGTATTTTAGAAGGGTTTCTTCACCTGTAAAATGAGCAGGCACCATTACAAAATCATCTGTATCACAAGAGGAGGAGTTCTTGCTGCTGCCGCCTGCTCCAGACGAGTCCTTCAAGAGAAAACCTGCAGCATCCTGGGTTGGAGAGGCAGGAACTTTGGAGCGCAGATGCTGAGTCTCAGCGAGAGACTGCTGCAGTGGCACGAACACAGAAACGTATCAGATGCAAAGAAGAAACAGAAGAAGAGCAAAATTAGAAAACAGCAAACAGAGAAGGAAGGTCAGAAAGGTGACTTCTTTGTCAAACACACACACAAAACAGCTCTGTGGATTATGGGAAAATTGCTGAATAAACAAAAGCAGAGAAAAAGGAAAAACACAGAAGGAAAACTGAGCACGAACCGGTGGTGAGGCAAGGTGAGAAGTGGAGGAGCTGCTACAAGAGCTGGCTGATGCAGAACTGGGCAAACAGGTCATGGTCACTGCAGGGATGGCTGCAAAATGATTGTTAGAAAACTTCATTAGAAAAAAAAAAAGTGAAATAACGCAAAGTTTTGCTTTTAAAGTTAAAGAAAATGTGTCAGGTCCCAACTAACCAAGCATTAGATAGAATAACATTTACTTACACTTTTTAATAGATGAGCTGGCATCCAGGAAAGGATGGGTAAAAAACTCATCTGCCAGGAACACAGAGAACGATACAAGTTTATAGGCACTGAAACCAAAATCACGGTAGAATTCAAAATAACAAACAGAAATCCCTCATGCTTAGTGTGAGGGATTGCCTTCGAGGCAATGATTCGATGCAATCAACAGTTTTTTCTTTAGATAGAAAACTTTGAATCAATTTGACTGTATGATCGGGTGAACTGTAAAGGGCCTTGAGATGACATGTTGTGAATTGGCGCTATAAAAATAAACTGAATTGAATTAATGAATACTACGTCCAGTTATTGCTCTCCTTATAGTTTTTAAACTGTTTTATCTGAATAAATGAAGGACAGTGCCATTTCAAATATGTCATGAAGAATGCAGCTCTGGATCTGATAAATAAATTTTTTAATGACCAATGTCAGAATTATTTAAATTCACCTTAGACCGTCTACATACCCCTCAGAAAAATAAGGGTTTCCCCTATTAGGTTTACACACCTGTCACAATGATGTTCACAGTGAAGGAAAAATCGTATTTAGTGCTGCAGCCAATTGTCTACAGGATAAGTTTAGAGAGCTGGAGAGCAACGAGCAGAAATATATAACTGGACCAGCTCTAGGCTGCAGTTTGAAGAGGAATATCAATAAGCCATACTTATGCTGTGTTCACACCGGACGCAGCAAGAGCAGCAAAATCACGTCTGCTGCTTCATTTTTGCTGCTTGTACCAGTTTAGTCCTGACGCGTGGCTGAAGCAGCTTTGCTGCTCTGGATGCGCGGCGAAAAGAGGGTCTGACTCGCATTGAGCGGAGCTTCCCTATCCTGTCTTTGCCTTGCAGCTGTATTTGCTGTGATCGGTGGGAATAAAGTAGTTTTAATATGTTTTTAAGTGAGAAAGTCCACCTGAAAACTTAATCAGTGCAGTTCCGTAAAAATTCAAAAAAAAAAAAATATCCACTGGACTTGGTTTTCAAGATTTGAAGACATTTCGCCACCTCTCCAGGAAGCTTTCTCAATTCAAATGTCTGGATCCGCAGTGAGTTAAGTCTTATATAGACAATGCCTTGTATCGCTTGGAAACATNAAATAAACTGAATTGAATTAATGAATACTACGTCCAGTTATTGCTCTCCTTATAGTTTTTAAACTGTTTTATCTGAATAAATGAAGGACAGTGCCATTTCAAATATGTCATGAAGAATGCAGCTCTGGATCTGATAAATAAATTTTTTAATGACCAATGTCAGAATTATTTAAATTCACCTTAGACCGTCTACATACCCCTCAGAAAAATAAGGGTTTCCCCTATTAGGTATTACACACCAGTCACAATGATGTTCACAGTGAAGGAAAAATCGTATTTAGTGCTGCAGCCAATTGTCTTAAGGGTATGTTTAGATAGCTGGAGAGCAACGAGCAGAAATATATAACTGGACCAGCTCTAGGATGCAGTTTGACGAGGAATATCAATAAGCCATATATATGCTGCGTTCACACCGGACGCAGCAAGAGCAGCAAAATCACGTCTGCTGCTTCATTTTTGCTGCTTGTACCAGTTTAGTTCTGACGCGTGGCTGAAGCAGCTTTGCTGCTCTAGCTGCGCGGCGAAGAGGGTCTGACTCGCATTGAGCGGAGCTTTCCTATCCTTTATTTGCCTGGCAGCTATATTTGCTGTGATTGGTTGGAATTAAGTAGTTTTAATATGTTTTTAAGTGGGAAGATCCACCTGAAAACTTAATCAGTGCAGTCAGTTCATCCAGATTACCATCCTGCCTTCCAATATTATTTCTGTCTGAGCCGCTCAGACCCCCACATACCAGCGGTGCGCCGACAGTAGGAATCACATTCAACAGCAGCCTATGCCCCGGTGGCCTCCTCGCCATTTGCCGCGGCGGCTGGAAGGTGATTTTAATGTACATAATCCAAACTGAAGGCACCAGGATAATAATGGCGAACACGCTTTGTTGGCAGGTTTCAGCATTTTAAGTTAATTTAGGCATTAATAAAACTCTTTCAGAGGAGTGATCACAGCGCTCTGTATCATCAGCGATGTGTCTGTCTCCCTGGCATCTCCCAGATGAGCGTCTCCGATTGGTTGATGAGGCGCGTCGAGCAGCAAAAGTTAAATTTTTCCATCTGGAGCAGCAGTGCGTTTGCGGCGCATCGCGAGTGTCAGATGCTTAAACGCTCCCGACGCGCTGCTTCAGCTGCTCAGACGCGCTGCGCCTGCTGCTAAAAACACGCTGCAGGACCTTTTGCTGCACCTTGACGCACGTCAACCATTGACTTTGCATGTAAACTCGCTGCTTCTGCTGCGCCTGCTGGGTCCGGTGTGAACGCAGCATAAGACATGCTTATATCAGTCATGCAACGTTTCAGTGCATAGGAAGAAAGTGCTTTTCTTTTCAAGGCAGAAATTGAAGTCAAAAAGTTCTGAAATAGTGAAACAAAAAGGATCAATCAATTAAAAAAAGACTGGGGCCTGGATGTTGATGTATATCTATTCTTCAATGACAGGCTGAGATCAGTATCACGGACAAGAATAACCTGTTCAGTGTTTTTGAAATGAAGAAGCCACTAGCAATAGAAATGTCAGATAAGTAAAGTAATTATTTCTTTACAGAATTCTATTATTTCTCCATTGACATCAATTTTACCTCAGAGATGGATGGTCCAAATGGGATTTTCTAATATTTGACTTTGATGTATAAGCTAATTAACTTCTAACTTTGTCAAGTCTTTTAAATCCAAACCAGTGAATCTAAATATTGGGTGATATATAAATAAATAAACTATTGAACTGTTTGCTGCTTAGTGCATTTAAGGAACCAAATAATATTTTTTTCCCCTCAAATAAACATAAATCTAAATAAAGAGCCATGAAGTGGCTTCTTTAATGGATCAGAACTGCTGAGCCTTACTGACCAAAGTCCATGCGATCCTTGTGGTTGCGTTGCAGCAGACCCAGCAGCAGGTTCCTCAGATGGCTTGAAGTCTCTCTGGGGATACTACAAGAAAATAAAACATTTAAATTGAAGAAGACTTTTATATTTGCCTGGTTTTCACTCAACCGCTTTTTTGCAAAGATACATTTTAATTGTTTATCTGAACCAATAAACCTCTCACAGATTATGACAAAACCAACTTGTTTTTAAACATTCAAGTTGGCAAGCCATAGCTAAATTCATTTTAGCAAAGAAGCCTACAAAAAACAGGAAGGAAAAGACAAAACAAAGGAAGTTCTTATGATTTATAATGTTTAATCATTCTTACTTGGGACTAAGGTTCTTGTTTTTCTCATAGAACTGCCGGAGGTCCTGAGGGCTGCTGGCCTAATAGTGAAAATGTAAAAGAATGTAAATGTCAACGGAATGTGAACACAACTGCAACACAATGGAAGCTTATCACAGAGTCAATCTGTCATTGCTCATCTTTCCTCTGTGACTCTAACTCTCTACAGTTTTAAAAACATTTAAAAAACAAAAACAAGTTTCACTTTTGCTGGACCAGTTTAGACCCAAAAGAAAAAAAATAATACAAGCTTAACTCTACTGCACCCTCTAATCTACTCTCTAACTTTATAACAGAATAAAACAGCAAATGAAAGTGATGTATAATGTTTCCTTATTGCCTGTTCCTGACCAGTAACCAGTCTAACCTTTGGCTCAGTGAAAATCTTCTCCCCTTTTCTGCTCCCATTGTTTATATAATATAACATTTATGCAGCCATTTTTTTTGGCGTTAGAGATTCCCTATCTCTTAATGTGTTTTTAAAAACAATTATGCGTGCTTTATGGTAACAGTAAAGTTTAATGAATAGTTTGCAAGCTGGAAGGACAGGAAAGACAGGTTTGCATTTTAGTCTGTGTAAACTTAGCAGCAATGATGCAAAAGAGGAACTTCACAGTTAGGAGTAGGTGCAGTGCTGCAACTACCAGATAAATAATAGCGTGTATTTAACTGTTAGAAGAACCCATGCATTGTCAGTAAGAAGCTTAGAATGAGTGTTTACATTAAAAATCTAACTGAAGCAAGGAAAATTTGCTATTTATACACAGAGAGACAACCATACATCCAGTTTGAAAGGCTTTCAACCTTCACTGAGAAGCTTTAACCATAACGGGAGAAATTATTGCTGGTTTTACCTGAAAAGGAGCTTTTCCAGTCAGACACTGAAACACGATGGTTCCTATACTCCACAAGTCAGCCTTGGCATCATAGTTCTGGGACATAATCACTTCAGGTGCCTGTTGAAGCAGCGGGGAGATTTATGCAGCAGTAAAAACACAGAGGAACCCATTTAGTGATTGTCTGTGGAAGGTGTTTTACCATATACATAGGAGAGCCGCAGAGCGTAGCTGCCATCATGTTGTTCTGAAGGTGTCTGGCAAAGCCAAAGTCCGCTGCAAAGAGAGGAAGGGGGGAACAGGTGAGGTCAACAAGTCTACGAAAGAAAACAGTTTCCACTGACAGATTTAGCTTTGAAGAAATTCTTTAATTGGACCAACATGTTTTATATGACCTTGAGCGAAAAAAAAAAACAAGAGAAGGAAATTTTGAATTTAACCTGTAGAGGAAGTAAAAGATACGTTCAAACTTCAAAACCTTGAAGCTCATACCAACTATACTCAAAATTGCAAGATGTGACAAAAGCTAGCCAGCAGTTATTAGAGACAGAAAAATAAGAGGAAAAAAAGAAAAGAAATGTACACTCCTTGAGAAGTTTGCAATGCTTTAAAAGGCTATAATCCAACCAAAGCTCCTTGTTCTTATTAAAACTCATCTGATTGGCCATACAAGCACCCAATGAAAACTTACACACAATAAAAGAGATCTAAGTACACTTAAATAGACTTATTTAAATATAAGCATAGATAATTGTGCATTTTTATACTTTTTGAAAGTTTTAAGCTAAGAGAAAAAATAAAAAAATTAATCAGAACACAGAAAATCCACAAACCCAACCTGAGTCCTAATTTTAAAAGCGATTGCACCTGTTATCTCAGACCAGCTCAACAAACCATATTATGCATACAGGTGACCCAAAAAACACGAAAGTGGTTCAAGTTATCAGAAAACACCAGAAATGTTACGGTTCTATATTTCTGGGCAATCCCCGGTTGGACTGACTTTACTCAGATACAGAACGAGCCCAAACACTGATAATATCACTTTAGAGGCCTTACTGAGAAACTGAAGCTGTGGGCAGATTGCTGCTCGCAAGCTCTTGTTCTAAAATGACAGGAATGAGTAACCAGGAAAAAAAAAACTATGAGCAGATTGAAAGATTCTCTAACCTCTCTATTTCAGCTCAGACAATGCAAACATGCTACATATACCATAGCTCACATGATGAGGCAGAGAAGGAGTTTGGGGGAAAAACTTTGATAAAAATATGATGGATCAGGATTTGTGGCCTGTTTTTAATTTTTTCAACATGACCGTGACGTTCACAAACACCATTACTCTTTTCCCAAAATAGGTAACAAAATAATATTTCTGCAAGTAAAAAAAACTCTTATCATTTATACTTAAAAGGTCAAAAACTGTTAAAGGTTATAAACACAATGAATCAAAGAGATTTTATATATTGATCTAACTCTAGTCTATTATTTCACAGCTTACTCATACATATATATTTTATTTATGTAGCACTCAATAAAATTTATTTTGCTCATACCTCCAAATTTTTATTGTTTTTCTATGTGATTTTAATCATTTTACTTTTTTCATGTGTTGTGAAAAAGAATGGTCAATAAAAAGACAAGAGAAAATTGATCTAATAGGTTCCTAATAATAGGAAAAGGATCAGTCACAAATCAACAGTTAGCAAATTACATAACAGCAAGACGTATTTTGTTTCTGTTTCCTAGTTATTTATCAATTTATTCTTTTTTTAATATATTAAAGCTCTAAACAGCAGAAGTAAAAACAGAGCAAACAATGCTGCACCTGTTTAAAGTCACATATAGTGAAGCCTACCGATCTTGATGCAGGTGTTGTTGGAGTGAGACTTTCGGCCCGATGGGTAAGACAGCAGAATGTTCTGGGGTTTGAGGTCCCGGTGGATTATTCCTTTGGTCTGCAGGACTTTCATGGCCCCTGCTATTTGCTGCAGGAAAACCCGAATAGTGTCCTCACTTAGAGTGCCTTTGGCTGCAGAGACAAAACGGAAAACACAAAAAAATCCAACAATCATTTGGAGTAAACCTATGTAGACCAGACTCAACTATCATTGCTGTGGGAGGAATTTAATAGTGTTATCATTTTCAAGGAGTTTTCTTTATTCTTTTTAAGCCACATGAAATTCAAAATGAAGGAACTCTTTTCTTAAATACTAAATCTACTTTTTTCTTCAGTTGCTCAGATTATATCCTGCATCCAGTTGCAAATTCAGAGCTATATAAAATAGAATAACAATGAATTCCATTATAAACCCCTTAAATAACTTCTTGTTTTTCCTCACCCAATCTCTTTAATGATAGACAATGTCATTTTCTTTGCATCATACAGGATGCATCCCTGCAACCAAACCTCTTGCAGCACAAAACTAAACTGAAAAATGACTTAAATGAAGCAAAAATGCTAAATAATTGAAGGTCTAAACCTTTTTCCGAATCCTTCAACAATAATTCTCCCTGTAAAGCTCAAGTATCACTGAAGCAGAAATCAATTGTCCCTTAGAACGGCTGCTCTGATGTTGAACCCTGCTTTCACTTGAAGAATGTCCCTCTCCTGCAGAGCTTCATACATGCTCTTGCTGTCTGGATGGACATTCTGTATGTTTTACTGATGTGACCTATCCACCACTTTCATGCCAGATAGAGCCTCAAACTAAAACAAGTCAATCACACAAATAGGATATAGTTTTCCTTTAAAGATTTCCTGGCATATAAAGAACACCACTTCAGTATGCAAGAAAATCTGAGACAGGACATGTGAACGATGAATGACTTCTGGAGATTTTCCATAAAGAAACAACTCATTTTGATTGTATGTTTTTACTGAAAGGCCTAAATGGAACCGTTGTTATACTTACAGTGTAAGTAGTCAGCAAGATCTCCTCCATTGCAATACTGGCATTAAGAAGAGAGAAAGAATTGGTTAGAAATGTAAAAGTTATAATAACCTCATACATAAAACCTGGGGTCATCTACACCAAGAATATTAAATAAAGAAGCTATAATTAAACATGCTATAGAGCACCATTAATTCTAAAATCTTCATAACTGAAGTTATTTTATAAGATGTTGTAGGTTATTTAATCACAAACAGATCCTCTTAGCTGCACAAAGAAATCTACTAAATATATAATAATAAAGGCAAAAAATCACTTTCTCTCACTCAGAAAAACACTCCTGATCTTTTTTATGGTTCCTGCAATCCTTAATCAGCTTCACAACCAACTTCAGCAGATGCAGCATAATCATCCCCCCCCCCATGTCAGAGGGGTCAGCTAATTATATATCTGACCCTGGGAGAGTTGCAACAATACAGTGCTGAGCAAACAAAGCAACGAGTCGTAGCAAAGCTTACCTCCATTACTAGGTACACTGAGCTGGCAGTTTCCTAAAGAGGGAACAGTTAAGAGAGAACACAAACACATTTCAGTCAAACAGTAATGTGAAAGCAGCCCGTCAGAGCACAAACACAACTAATAAACTAATATTTGAGGAGGGTAACATCTACGTTCTAAAGACTCTAAAATGTTCAGCTTATTTGATCTTTGGTAAAAGCTTAAGTTTTATTCTATGTTTCAACAACGATCCTGTTTTTAAATGGCGCCCCATTTGTAAGGAGAAAACATCTGAGCTTATTCTGCTGTTTCTCATGTTGGTTACCAGCTTGGTCACACGGCTGAGATAGGGAACCCATTCTACAGCCAGCTTTGTAGGTGTGTTGGTGACTCTGGAACCAACTTCGAGCCCAACTCCAACAAGTGTTTAATGGGCTTGAAGGCAGGACTGCAGGCCTTTCTAAGCCCTCTGCTCCAAAATACTATCTGATAAACGTAATCCAGTTGGTTTGGCCAAAAAGAGAGAAGATAAGAATAAGATAAGGATCTACTGCTGATTTAAATGGACTAATAGATGGACTAAGAAGCACTGTTACGGGAAAAAACTAAATAAAAATTGATCAAACACTTTTATCTTATTTTGTACCTTTCTGCTTAATTTGTTTATTTGAGCAAAGGTGGTGTCGGATGAAGGAGTTGGTCCTGCAACCGGCAGGTTGTTGGTTCAAGCCCTTGCTCTGACTTTCAACGTCATTGTGTCCTTGGGCAAGACGCTCCACCTATATGGCTTAGTGATGGTGCCAGCGCACAGCAGCCTCGCTTCTGTCAGTGAGCCCCAGGGCAGCTGTGGCTACAATGTAGTTTACCACCATCAGTGTGTGTGTGTGTGTGTGTGTGAATGGGTGAACGGTAAATGGTAAATGGACTGTACTTATAAAGCGCCTTTATTCAAGTTAGGAGACTTGACCAAAGCGCTGTACACTACATTCATTCACCCATTCACGCACACACTCACACTGAATCACTGAATGTAGTGTAAAGCGCTTTGGTCAAGACTTCAAAAAGCTCCACATAAGTATATGGATGATCTATTTATATTTACTATAAATAGATCATCTATCACATTTAAAACAAGTGATAGTTATATTTATATTTACAATAAAATTTAATTCAAAATACTTTGTTGATTCATGAGGGAAAGTAAATGTTATAACTCTTAGAAAGGTTACAACTCTTACTTGCTGAATTTACTTTAAGAAACTTATTTCAGCTTAAATATAAGAGCAAAATTATCAAAGCTGTTTGTTTTCTTTTGTTACCAGCCATTATGAACTCAATCACAGAAAAAAAACATCAAGGTTAACCATCCACACTCAAACAAAAAGCTTGTTAAATTTGCAGATTTTTACAGTCTGCCACAATCCCTTTGGAAACAGAAAAATATGAAGAGAAATAAAACAAAAACAAAACTGAAAATATACAGCGGCCGCCTTCCAAACAGCCCCTTATCACATAGCAACAGATGACAGCCATCTCGCATTCTGACCCCATTTCAGTATCTGTTTGAACGCAGCGGTCAAAGGGCAGACTGTTTTCTGTAGTCCAGCTGAGTCAGGGCTTCTGCCGCTGGCTGCAGAGACAAAACGGACAGCAAACAGGTTCTGGCAGAGAGCCGACGGCCTGAGCTCACAGGCTGCATCGGAGAATCGAGGGAAAACATTTCTGGTTAATAAAACGTTTACCCTCGTTTCAAAAGGTTTAGCAGAACAGCAAGTTGATCTAAAATCCACTATGATATCTGACCACTTTGCAGAGTGTTTAGTATAGTTTTATGATTCAACAAAAGGGAGGGGCTAGAAAAGATTATTATGGGAGGATAACCTTAGGTAGAAAAAAAAATGGGCAAAAATAAATTGCATAATGCGTTTAAATTACGTCTTTCAATAAAAAAAGAAAAAGAAAAACACTTATAAGCAAGAACATTCCAACTGACAATAATTAATTAAAATAAATTACATCCACCTCATTTATTAGAAGGTTTTTAATTAATGTACTTATAGTGAACATAATTTCACCATTTTGCAATACTGCTTATTACAGAGCAACACCAGAGGTCTAATAAACTGGGATTAGCTGGATAATTAGTTGGGCTGCCTGGGTTTTTTTTTGTGTGTGTGTCCGCTTTGTTTGCATGTGCTGATGGGGACAATAATACTTCCATACAAAGTGGGAACACTGACCCACAGCAGAGAAAGCTGACAATGGGTCAGATCCCACATCAGGTCAGACGAGGCAGGGAGCAGAGGAAGGAACATTTAAACGTACAAATCTTTGGTATGCCTTCATTCCACGAGCAGACTCAAAAAAGTGAATGTTAAAAAAAAGTGGAAAATATTATGAGAGGATTTTTGAAACATTTATGTTAATAATGAAGCAGAATTACTTAAGATTTGCTGTTAGATTTCATCTGTCTTTGCAATACTGACTAAAACAGACACATCATGAAAGCCAGTTTTTGCTGTGATGCTGTTTTTTCCTTCAGTGTCATTTTCAGTTTGTCTTTTCCAAAGAGGTGAATCTTGGGACTAATTACTCCCAAGAACAGAAACATGTAATCTTAGAGGGCTGACTTGGACTGCCCTACACAGAGACAAACTGCTGAGAGAACGTGTGTGGATCTGGGGTTTGGTAACTCATACTTTGGCACAAATTTAACAGCTTCTTGCAAGAGAATTTCATTCCACCAAGCTGCTGATAATAACCTAACTGAGCAGCTCTTCACATATTTCCCAATAACACAAGACTGCAGTGTCAAAGCCATTACTGTAGCTCAGTTTATATGAACTATTCATTAAAAAGCTTACAAGTCAAGCTGCACTCTAAAATAAATAGTGAATAAAGTATTATCTTTAACCTTTGCCATCAGGGTTATTTATTTAAATTCCGAAATCTAACCTTTTTGATTTATACGTACTTGAAGATCAAAACTCAAGTAAAAAAAATTTAAACTAGTTATAGAGATTAAATATAAAACTTAACACCCTCCATAAAATTCGTTAAACAAAAGGAGCCCTCTGACAACCGAACTGTTGTCTTGCTAACATAGCTTAGCCTCGAATAATGTAAATTAGCATTGTGCTTTCCACCCAGCTGGCAGGGTGTTAGTTAGGGACTTAAAAACAAAAAGAGCACCTGCTGAGCTCAGATAAGGCTTTGTTAGGAGTCGTGAGGGACGTGATATAGCAGCTACCCAGGAGGTGTAGCAACAGGCCGCTTCAGACTGGTAACTAGGCTACAGGAAGCATCATCAATGCCGGTACCTAAAGGACAACAGCTGCCCTGACAGCAGGTAGAGAGATCAATATGTGTAGCTACCTCACGTCTGCTTGTGCAAGTGTGAAAACTGCAGAAAACATTTGATTCGTGGTGAAATTTACACTGCAGTTCTCAGAGAGCTTTTCAGGAACGAACACCGCCAATAAGGGGTTATGCGACTGCACATCAAATATAAACACTGGAAGTGATGACTGAGCTTTAAAGGTCACAAAGTCGGGATGTAAATCAACACTTTACAAAGATCTGCCTTTAGCCGTGGAAAAAACAAACAAACAGAGAGGATATAACATAGCAAAACAGGGAAAGAATTTCCAGGACGTAAAGAAATGGCTGAAGATATACGATAAAAAACAGCAATCCATTACAGCTGTATCTACAATTATTGATCGAGAAAGACTATAATCACTTCTTATATCTAAGAATTCCTTTAAAGTGACATGGTTGATATTTCTAATTAAATACATACACACCTGAAAGTCCAGTAATGCAACAATATTCTCATGTTTCAGTTCCTGCAGGAATCGAGCAGAAAACAAACATTGGTTTAAAGTTGTAGCTTAAACTATTCACAGAAACATGTTACCTAATAAAAAAGCATATATATTCTCTAAACATTATTTTAATTAGGAAATGGAAGGAAACAGTGCATTATTTTATTTTACTAATAATATTTTTAACCAAATGTGTTCCTTCTGAAAAAGCTTGAGTCAGATTAGACACACTGTAACTGTAATGAAGCTCTGGCGTTCCGTTCAGACTTGTTATCCAATAAAGATGCCCTGCTGGTTTTCCTCTATCCAGGTTAGGGCTGAAAAAATTAATCGGATTAATTGTGAGTAATCACTAATTTAAAAAAAAAAAAAATAATTATTTAGTAATCGATTAATCATTAAATGGAGTATAGAGACTGTAAAACATGCCTTTAGCTGACAGAGCGACACATTTGGTGCAGTATTTATACTAAAATTGTAAAAAAAATATATAAACATTTTGCATTTCAGATTTAAAAAATGTTTTTATGTGTCAATATAATTTATCCAGAACTCCTCAAGTGGTAAAGTTTTAGTTCCACCTGGTTTAATTTAGTAAAAATCCTTCTTTAAGGAACATTTTGCTATTTGATCATTAATCAATTAATCAAAAAACTCACAGATTAATCCAATCGCGAAATAATCGTTATTTGCAGCCCTAATCCAGGTATTATTCCGGCACAACCTTTTTCCAATATGCAATAACATTTTAAAAGCTGTGCAATATTTCCCTTCAACTTGAAGGTTATGCGTCTCTAGAACATAATTGAAACCGAACACACAAAATAAAAGTGTATGCATTCTTTGGAAAGGCAGTGTATTTTTAAGAAGGCCTGACATTTGATAATCCCAACTAAGACTGTCTTAGGCTTGCAGGAATAATGTTGACATGCGACCTGATTGTGTCCATGTGCAAAATTCCTCATTGTTGGTAAGTTTTCTAGCGATTATCCCAGTAACTCAGGCTCACCTTCAGTATTTTGATCTCTTTCCCAAGCAGCGTCTGAGATTTGGCCAAGTTTTTCTTGTTTATGCATTTCACTGCCACCTCCAGGTCAGGTTTCTGAAAGAAAAAATAAATCACAGTGGATTGTCTTTAGATTAGGGGAGAAAATGCAGTGCAAACTCTTCAGCTGACATTTCAGACAACCTATGTCTCTAGATATAAATCATCACAAGGATGCATTCAACTAAGAATGACACAGAAATCAAATATTTCTATGCAGCAAATAGATCTTTCAGTATTTACAGTCAGAAATGTAATATTTAACATGAATCAGTGATTTATTCATATGCTGTTGGGGGTCTATTTCACACAATAGATGATGCATATCAATAAATTAAGCTGCTAAGTAAATTAACACGCAATGATTGATATGCATTAAGTTAGAGTTAAGTACATGTTTCAACATGTCTGTTGCTGCCATTAATATAGAGCTTTCAATAGGAAACAATAGGAGTCTGCTGGCCTATATTTGAATCAGCAAACCTGTCCTGCAACATCTGCACATTTGCATCCTTATAAAAACAAAGACAGTCACAGAGGATTCTTTGCATTTAGGAAACGTTTAAAAGGTAGAGCGATGATAGAATAAAAATTGCGTTTTATGCGTTAGCTTGGTGCTTTTCAGGGAATATCCTGTGTTTTCGACCAGGCCTCTTAAGGCCGTACAATAACAACAAACCTCCCAGGTGGCCAACAACGCTAATAGTCTTTACATAATGAACTAAATGCATTTAATAATGTGTATATTTTTTATGTTGATTATAATTACTGCATCTTTATAAGAGTAAAAGGGCAATCACCTCTCGATGTCTGCCTTTGAAGACCACAGCAAAGGCGCCGTGTCCTATCAGGTCCTTCCGACTGAACTCAAATTTCCCCACAGTCTCCATGGAAAGTCCGATTTAGTCCAACTGTGACCTGGACAGATAACCGGGAAAGCTCGGGTGTCCCAGTCCTTCCTCCTCTGTCAAGTGGGGGCTGCAGCAGAGACGTTCAGCCCCTCTTTCGCTTGCCATAGACTGGCTTTCCAACAGCAAACTGTCCTCTTCTCTCATGTTCACACGGTTCCCAAAAGGAGTTCAGTCCCTAACAGAGTCGCATGGCTGTTTCCATCACCGGTAAAGCGACCTAAACGAAGTTAGCAAACTTAAAACACGGAAAACCGACGACTGTAGCCTCTCCGCATCTGTCTTTGACGTTCCACCTTAAGAAGCAGTTCGCTGCGTTTTGTTTATATACAGAAGATCCAGACTTTTGTTGCTTTAGACTTTCCAACCGGAGAAAAGACGACAAAAAGACCCTAAAACAGGCTGGTAACAGTTGTTGTCTGCTGAATGCGATGGCAGACAAACGCAATATGTCGTAAAATAGCAGCTGACTTCGCTGGAAAGTCACAGCACCGATGCTCACAACAAAGCAGGATCTGCTTTCGATGAGGAAGTGCGCATGCGCAGCGCAGTTACAGCTGAAGCTTTGACGTCACTCATATGCTTTTTTTTTCTCCCCTTCTCGGCAGCCGTAGAAAAACAGCGTCAAATCCTTCGACCTAGAAAATGTGTGCATGAATTAATAAGTTTCATCTTTATCTCTGTTAGCCGACAGTTATGGACATATACAAAAACTATGTAGTGACATATACAAAATTTCTGTTAACATGATGCAAGAAACTGTCTTGTTGCAGAATGAGTCTGTTTTTTTTTAGTTTAATTTAATTCTTTTTTAAGTTTTGTATGTTTCCATTGGCTTTAATATTACTGCCTGTTTATTTATTAATTTATTTCTTTTGCCTTGCACAAGTTAAGTTGATCTTCTGTATATAACAGTTATTTTCTCTGTTTTTTGGAAGAAAAAAAGCCTTTTGTTCAATAAAAAGAAGAAAATGTGTGCATGGGAAAATCTATGTAGTAGAGAGTTGTTATCACATCACAGCCGGTTATAATTAAAATGTTTATTTACTATATTTTTCTTAATGCTGGTCTTTTATAGTATTTAAAAAAACGTTGTAGATAGCTAAAATTCTTATAAACATAAGCAAATTACGCTTAATTACTTTCATTATAGGAATAATAGAAAAAAATACAAATAAACAGAGATAACGAATCTGTATAGATCCATATTTATGCAAGGCGTCAAAAAGTATAGAATTTGCTAAACAGTTTATGTATTTAGATAAATGTGATTTTTTTTTTCTCAGAAAATTGTAAAACTATAAACCATTGAAACATTTTTACGTACATAAAAGCCCTATACATTTTTTTTTTTATTTGGAACCTACAATAGACTACATAAAAACATTTCTGTCATTAATTAGCACATATCTAAACCATCCTTCTGGAAGGTGACTTTAATTTAAAAGTCAACAAAATTGTGGCTGTGACTATAAAAATAATAAAAATCATATTTTCACAAAGGAGAAAATATAACTCACTAAATTTTTGAAGCTAGAAGTATCACACAGAGAGTGAGCTTATCATATGTATGTGCTATCATCTAAGAAAAAAAGTGCTTAAATAATGTCAATCTGAGCTGTGAAAACCCAAGAAGGGGATTAGTGAAAAATTATGGATTTTATCATTTAAAATCTTAGTAAACAAAAAATCTGATTATTCGAATGTACTGAACATCGGTTAGAAATTAACCAAGATGCCAGATCATTCTAAACAATCAACATTTATCAGACACCTCGAGGTGCCACATTCACATACCGTGGGAATATCCAGCCATCACTGCATTTAGCAAAAAGGGAAAGTATTGTGTCACAGATTTAACTTTGCTTTGGTGTAAAATGTCAGTAATAACCCCAGGACAGGCAAAAAAACGTGTATTTAGTCCTGTGGTTTGACTAAACTTAACTGAAGCGATGAATAATGACCATCATTAGATCTAGAAGTGAAAAGCAGATGCTTGCATGCTTGAGAATACCCATCCAGCTGTGAAGCATGGAGATGGCAGCAGGATTTTGTGTGGGAATATTGTAAATGATGGACTGGCGACTCTTCAAAATATAGATCCTATGAAATTGGAAGGGCAAAAATAACACAACCCAACTGTTTTAACTATTCAGGCCTGGGTAGTTAATAAAGTAAATAATTTTATTGTTTGGTTATAATACACTTTAAGATTTTTTTGTGTGCGTTTGCTCATTTATTTTGTAAATAATTTTACAAATAATTTTTTCACATATCTGTTACAGCAGCTCTATATATGGATTCTTGGATTCCAAGTCCCTTCTGACATTAAGTCTTGATCCGTCACTCACATGATCTTGCAGGAATCTGTCTGCACTCCAGAACAGTTCTGGCTCTGGAATGCTGCTGTATTGGCTTTCATCTCACTTTCTGTTCTTACACCTTCCAGAATAAATTCAGGACTTTGATTTGTAAAAATCTAATCAGCTTACTTTTACTCACTGAACATTTCTAAATGAGGGGTGCACAAAGTGTTGCCTGTGGAGTATTTGTATACATCGGAGTTCAATCCTCGTACAAAAATTTACAGATTTGACTCACTCATACAGGCAGTTCATGCAAATAAGAAACTTTTTAGGGACATTTTTATATATTCCTGAAATCAAAAGTTTTATGTTCTTTCTTTGCTTGTACTTTAATTAAAAAGTAAAGGCAGGACCATAAATACACGAAAAAAACTTGGCTTAGAAGCAAATTTTTCTCTTCCCACAGCCAGCTTTTTTAACAAAAGAATGGCTATTACCCTGACCTTGTTGCTGAGAAAAGAGAAAAAAATATATAATAATTTTCCACTTCAAGTAAATAGAAAACATTCAGAATCTTCTTGTGTAATACTCTTTTTGTAATTTGCTGGATTTTCAATGAATTAAAAACCCCTTGTTCAATTCGACTACTTTTCTTAGTTTTATTAAAATGTTGTGTATTGTTAATGTTTTGTTTGTTGAGGAGGTAACAGTGAAATGATTCACTTTCAGTGTATTTTTCAGTTTATTTTTGTGTTTTTAATAAATGAAAACTGGACAATTGTTGCTTCATTTCAATAAAAAGCTCAAGAAAAACTTTTCTATATTAATGGATAGTAAAAGAAACGGGTTAATCTGAAAGTTGTCTAATTAAGATAAAATTAATCAGTTTTGCTTGCAATATAATTGTTTAGTTTGTAGCTTTATGACTCAGTATGTGTGGCGTTCATTTAAAAAGTCAAAACACTTCAGACACATTTTACAGCAGTGGAAAATTTCCTGATGTTATTTTTCTATCGTTGACATTTGATTATAAAGCATGTTTAATTTTATAAGCTATTTTGTAACAGATCAATTGTTTTTGATCCATAAGTATTGCAAACCACATGGTTCCCTGATGTTTCTATATGGAATACTGATATTCCATTTGCTCTGCAGATTCTTTACTGAAAGAAAACCAATGCATTTAAACTGTACACCAAATCTATGCACAATAACCAATTACACAACAATATAGTCTGTAAAAGTCTTCTGATGAATATTCAGCATATATTTCATATAACGACCATAAGAGGGCAGTGACGATATGCAAAAGACTTCAAACTTTTTCACATGCATACTCTTGCCTGAGATAATCCAGTAAATGTTTAAAATATAAATTATTTTATAATATTTCCTTTCATAATGCCTGTCTGTTGGCTAGTTTTGCAATGACAATATTAATGATTTAAATAATAGAAATATTTATATAAAAAAATAAAATAAACTGGAAAAAGCCTGATCTTTGACTGTGGAATAAACTGTGAATAAATAAACCATTCGATCCATATCAGCTATTATGATGTCAAACTGCAGCAGTCAGACTAATTAATCTCAGCTAAAAGTAAAACATTTTTAAATGCGATTGCAGCTGGGTAAAGGGATGTAACAATGATAAGGTGCAGTCTGGTGATATAGAACGATAGATCTGCATAATAAAAACATGATAATTCTGCTTTCTTCCCTGTGCTTGATATACCATGTCAGACAGTTTACCTGAGCAGGACAGTTGGTGTTTCTGCAGAAGGATGCACACCACACAACCTTACAGGTGTCTAACTCTGCAGGAGTTTGCTGTGATGTTGACTATTTTTGTTACTCTGTGGCTCCAACAGGATGATTGATTGGTTCTTCCTGGCCCACTTTAGCTTTCTGTCTGTGTCAGTCAGTGGAAGAGCCTTCAGGTGTTTGCTCGGGGTACAGATGGAAATTCCTAGCAAGCCACGTCCCGAAGTATGCGAACACTGCATACAAATACTAAAGGCGGGTCTTGTTTATTTTCTGTGTGAATAAAACATTTAGAGCCACTCATGGCAATAATTCTTATAAATAAATGACACAAAAAAGTCTTTAAAGATATTGATTAGCTTGAGTAGCTGAGAATGAAAAAAATAATACAACATTGTTAAGATTTTCAGATGCAAAACCATAGCTAAGATACATAAAAATAAACACAACTCTAATAAAATGCTGGGTAATTAAGATGTAACAAAGGAGACTATGATCAATCCTTTTCCCACCTTCAACGTGTCATGTATCCCTATATCCAACACTATATAGGAAAATATAGTAATGTTTTTTTGAAAAAATAAAATAAAAATAATACTTGATTATGTTTTTTAGTTTTAGCTTTAAGTTGTCTGTCAGTATGACACATCTTGATTTGGTAAAACTGTCTACCCTACATTGCAAAACTTCTTTAAACCAATCAGATTCGTTCTTATGTCAATAGCCCCTTTCAGGTCAATCTGCAAAACTTCTGACAGTTTTACAGCTGATCTATGTCATAGCTATTCCAAAACTTCCCTCGACCTTTCAGAGATTATGAGTTGAAACTGATCGGTATGTAAAGCTTTTTAGGATTCCATTAACCCTCAAAAAGGCAGAGTTATTTTGCTGCTTTACCTGGACACCCATACAGGAGCTGAGTTAACAATAAACAAAAGTCGGTTCTGTGTAAACCAAGCAGTTCCTCATACAGTAGCTTGTTAACTTGGACCATTATACTATGAATGCCCCTTTACTAATGTGTCAGATAACTTTGTAACTGAAAACACAATCTGCATAAAGTGAACGTTTCACACAGAAAGATTAGCGGTAGAAAAGTGCTTCGGGACTTTGATGTGGACAATAATAATTTCTTTGCAAATAACCACCCACTGTCAATATTGTGATTCATTCCTAAGACAGTTCCTTTCCTTAAACAGTGATGACATTTTTGAGAGTAAAGGCATTTCAAATTGGTAAAAGTTTCTTTGGTTTGGGCTCCTCTTGTTAGGGTCTCTGGGTTTTTTTTCTTTGTTTTGAGTGAGCTTCCTGTCACAGAGAGGATCTTTGCTGGTGGCTGGGTGACCCACGTTGCGGCACACCTGAGAACGCTTCTCAGTCTAGATGACTAGTGTGTATAAGGAGGTGATTGTCTCTCCTCAGATGATGGATGATTAGCCCTGACGGTATTCCAGCCGTCA